TATTTTTACTCTGAAACATCAGTTGACTGCACGACATTACATCCCAGGGGACAGGGTACTTGACAGCCACTGCTGTGAGGACCTGAAATCCAACAAAATAAAGTTATGGTTTCACATTTCCTCCATTCTTCCATAGATATGAAATTAGAAGTAAGACACTTGGAATTTAATTTAAAGCAAACAGAACTCCAAATTATGAAAACTGTAATAGGCACTTTTTAATATAAACTTTGATACAAGTGGTGTAAATTATCTTATATTCAAGTCTGGTAGCTAATACGCCTTAAATTATTCTACCACACGGCTTCTTTTCCATGTTTGTTTTCTTCTTTTTTGTTTGCATGTACAGAACTAATTTAGTTGCGAATGCTAATAGATCTCTTAAAGGAATTCCGACTACGAAAGGTTGTGTCGCACAATTCAGGCCAGACAACGCAGCTTCATAAATTCTTATATGTAACTAAGACGACATTTATGAGCTCTATGTGTAAAACGTAAGATAATAATTCGTATGGTAAGAGGCATATCTGTCCGTCTGTAAGTATATTTTATCTCCGAAGATACCGACTGAATATGGGTGAAATCCTATATCTGGGATATAGGTCTACATTAAACGTTCTCGGGGGAATTTAACTTTTCATTCTTATGCAGCTAATACTTCTCATGAATGCTAGTGGGGTGGGACTAAGTCCCTTGTACTGCGGCCACTTCTGGCCTATTGTACCAGCCCCAGGTGATAGGTGAGGGTGATTGTGGAGCAATTGGTGGAATGAAGATTGGCAGGGGAAATCAAAGTACTCGGAGAAAACCTGCCCCAGCGCCACTTTGTCCACCACAAATCCCACTTGACCAGACCCGAGATCGAACCCGGGCCGCCGCGGTGGGAAGCCAGCGACTAACCGCTTGAGGTATGGCACGGCTCTACTTCTCATGAAGCTCAAATTACTATTTCCAAAGGGAAGAAGAAGGGAAGAAAAGAAAGACTCGTGATGAAAATTAGCAGACTTTACATGGTCTAAAATAAGTGTCCCATTAAACTCAATAATACGTGGTTGAAATATTGTTTAATATTGTGAACATATAGCACAGACTCAAAACAAGGGAGCAGTGAAGAGCATCGGCGCTGTGTATAGCCTATAGTTTATACACGACAAGGAAAAATAGCTTCTCTTTCAAGGAATGTAGACACTGCTAGTATATGTAGGATACACATCCATGGCAGAAATTAATTTCCCTTGCATTCCGTTACATGTTGTTAATTATGAGGAACTGTTAAAAATAACATTAGAACACACGTCTAATTTCACGGTGAATTTAGTGGCGTACTATGAAATGGCCGGTCACGGTGGCTGCACGATCTAAGACAAGTACTGTCTTCGCTCTCTCTGAAGCCGGGGTTGTGTGTACGAATCCCACACATGTCATGGACGTTTGGTATGTATTTATTTTGTGTTTGTGTTATCCTGTGTTTAGATAAAGGACTTGCGACGAGCTAATCACTCGTCCAAGGAGTCCTACCGTCTGTAAAATGACCAAAATGAAAAAAAAAAAATCCTTACACAGTAAAGGTATAAGAGGAACGGATTAAGTAAAGTAAGATAAAGTACTGGCCGCGCCATAGCTCAAGCGGTTAGTCGCTGACTTCCCACCGCGGCGGCCTAAGTTCGATTCCGGGTCTGGTCAAGTGGTTCTTGTGGTGGATAAAGTGGCGCTGGGGCAGGTTTTCTCCTAGTACTTCGGTTTACTGTGCCAATCTTCATTCCACCAATTGCTCCACAATCACCCTAACCTATCATCTGGGACTGGTACAATAGGCCAGAAGTGGCCGCAGTACAAGGGACTTAGTCCCACCCCACTAGCAATAAGAAAAGGTATAGTATTAAATTTAGTATGTCAAAATCAGGGGGCTAATCCCACTTTGTTTAGACAGGTAAAATAGTTTCACCTCAAAGAAATGAGCACTACGGTGAACGGGTCACGCATAATCTCAAACAGTGTATTTGGAAATTATGTTCAGTGGGACACTCATCTCCACTCGTGTTTTAACTACAAGAGGCAGGGCTTCGCTCTTGGTACTGATTGGTCACGTGGATTCCTTACAGCCCTAAGGTTCCCGTTGGAATTGCAAGATATTACACGTCACAGTAGACCAGCACAAACAAGAGGATATGAAATCTGCGCCATGTAAGGCAAATTAATTACTCGAATGGCAGTTTGGGAGCACTGGACCAACGCGACTAGGTCTCTTCAGAGGATTTGCTACGTCACTTGCATAAATATTGCGTAAGATTTGAGGTTTTCACGACGATGACTATGAATAATTCCGTCCTCTTGGATGTGGCGCCATGTAGATCTGGTGTGAACCGACGTTTCGGAGGAACATATCGCCTACATCTTCATGGTAAATAAATCCGTGAGTGAGGAACCAGCGTGAGCTGGTGGCTACATAAGGAGTCCTAGCTGGCAGGTGGCTGCTACAGCCACTTGCTCACTCTGGTGCCTCACTCACGGATTTATTTACCATGAAGATGAAGGCGATACATTCCTCCGAAACGTCAGTTCATACAAAATCTACACGGCGCCACATCCCAGAAGATGGTATTCTTCATAGTCACCGAGGTGAAAACCTCAAATCTTACACTGATTGTTCCTCTTCGTCTGTTTCCGAGATCAAGAGTCTTCAAGGCGTCCTGCTTAATTAATTAAGCACAAGGACAACATTGCTTTGCCTTTAATTCACATGGTGTATTATAAAGATAGCATTTGAATGAGACACACAGAGCATTACCAGAGAATAACGTAAATACAGTTCATTTGTGAGTGCAACCTAAAAACATGCAACTTGGTGCGCCATGAGCTGCAGAACTATGAACATCTTGCATATAATTTCAGTTTTTTCATAATTTGTATCCTCTACCTAATGATATTTTTCTCATATTATAGGGAATATGACGGGAGGTACATGTACCACACACGGCCGAGGTGAGAAATCCATGCACAATTTTGATATGGAAACATGAAGGGAAGAGAAGTTAGGAGAGACAGTAGTTGGTGGGAAGGTGTTATTAGATTGGATGTTATTAGAAGGAATAGACTGAAGTGAAATGACTCAGAATTAGTTACAATAGTGACCATTTTTGAACACAAAAACCTTCAGGTTCTATATGAGCTTAATTAACTAATTATCCAATTATGAAGAAGGCCCTACACTACAGAGTTAATTACATACGGGCGTCGTTTTCTGCTTATTATTTGTTTCCTATCTCCGAGTATTTGTTATATTATATTACAATGTATCTACATTTTATGCCAGGAGAACTGAAATTGTGTTCAGGGCGTTCCAGGGCTTCAGTAATATAGAAATGTGATAGGACCAATTCAGCAGACCCTAAACATACCGAAACCCTTTCACCTGTGGGAACAGAATAATGAATTTCCGTTTCTAAAACCCTAATTTCTCGGCCTTGAAAAAGAGAATATTAAAATACCGTGTATGACATTTTGATTAGAGTGCAAGAGATTTCAACATTTCATTAACCAGGAAAAGGCGTTTACAGTCTAAGGTAAATTAGATTTAAAAAGAAGTTAAGGACGGAAATGGAACAATTATTTGGGGTAGGTGAGCTCGCTCAGGGAGTAACCGGCATTTTAATGGATCTTTCCTTGAAATAGCTGTCTGCTGGAAGCTCCTGCCCTGTTCATTTTAATTCGAAGTCTACCAGGAACGTGCTGCTTTGAGGAGCTACGTGAAGTTTACTTTAAACGTTTCGTAAGCCACGAACAGCAGTGCGGTGAGCCACAACAGCTTAGCTAGGAGAATAATACATAGAGTCTATAAAACATATTTTAAGAGACCTAATTATGCGAAAACTTCGCACTCTGTCAAGTTCCCATGAAGGATAAACTCCATACCTGCTCTAGGTTTACATCTTTCTGGCGCAACGCAAAGACACATAGACTAGACTAGACTAGACATTTCCTTACAAAATCAGGTTAAGAATTTCCGTAAGTCGATTAATAATTTGCGTCGACTGTTTTGTGTAGCATTTCTTGGCGATGTGCTTACTGTAATATTTTAAATGATCCTAATTTCTTAATAGCGGATTAATAAACCTTATTTACAAAAAGAGAAAGAATGGTCAAGTTCACGTTTATTCACCTGAACGCCTGGGATCTCTGACTAAAGTAGTAGGACGCTTTTGTTAAGGTTCAACATGGCGAATTTTCATTATATATTCACAGATATTTCGATTTTCAGCTGTATTTATCCATTAGAAGTCCTGGTTTATATAAGACCTTAAATTGATTTCTCCATATATCCTTCAAACAATTCCACAGATATTATTGAAATTCTGCATGGGAGAATTACTCCAAAAAATATTGAAAAACTCTTATTTTCGGCCATATTGACCCATAATAAAGCCCAGATTGCATCGGGCGGTAATCAAAAATTGTCAAGCAACCCATAAGCCCTTCCATAGATTTTTCTGAAATTCGAACTGGGGCAATTTCACTAATTTACATCTTATTCGTCCATATGTTCTAGACAATCGGCTCATAGATGGCGGCAAGGTTGTCATCCGTACTTGCCGGCCGCCATTTACCCCGAAGAACATTCAAAGAATATTCCTGGTACTCATTTCTGTTATAGGCTGTGTCGACCCCAGGGCCATAGTGCGGCCGGGAGGATTAGGTCAACTAAAGAAAATCTAATTACCTCATCGGGACTTGAACCCGCTACCTTCCGGCTTGTAGCATAGTGTCCCTATCAAAAGGCAGAGGGAAACAAAAATAGCCTTCGGTCTAGTTAATCAGTAATCCAGTCGAGATTTGAACGATGAGTACTGAAAACCAGTCCAAACCGTACCTCTACACAAATCTGCTCGGTCTGTGAACAGAGCTTTGAAGGGTAACATCTCTGCCCCACTCGTCTTTTCCATTAACCAATCAATTCACCGACTGAGCTATACCGTCTCTTTATTGCTGCCTGTGTCACTGGCCTCCGTCGTAAGCGAACGCATCTCTCGGTGCTTGTACTCATAAGAATATAGAACTTGCTTTGAAGCAGACCCTGCATGATTTCAGGTAAGCAAATATTATTCTTGAAGAAAGCAGTCTTCTGGGATTTGGCACAGAGTATATGTGGTGTTAACCGAAGTTTCGGTGGAACGTATCGCCTCCATCTTCAGGGTAGAAGGAAAATATAAGAAATCCGCAAGCGAAGAGATCGTGAGAACCGGTAAAAGCAGTCTACACGGTGCCAAATCCCAGAAGACTGCTTTCTTCATAGTCACCTCCGTGAAAGCCTCAAATCTTACAAATATTATTCTTGTTTCAAGCGGCTCCGAGTTTCAGAAGTAGAATTGGTCTTTTCTTCTAATCAGGTCTGACATTCCTACCTAAAGTCATTCCGGAAGCGTGTGAATTATAGTACAGGAATCACTTTTTCCAGTCTGTCTGTACGTTGTGTTCAATTCAGATTTTAAGTTCTTAAACCAACTTATGTTGAGAAAATACTCTATTCGAATATGTGTTGAATTATCGTATAACCTGACCGAGTTTTTTGTACTTTACCTCAGTTCCAGTAAACTAGTATCAGGGTAATAATTTCAAATGGTACACGGCCGTCTCCTTCCATATCCTTAACCCTTCATTTTTCAACATTATATTTCTCATGTCATCACATATTACCGGCCTAGTGCTCGATTGATACAGCATCGTTAAATAACCTAAGAAGTTATGGAACTTAGAGCTAAGGCTTTGAGATTATGACGTAATTTTAAGCGACATATTTTCAGCACTGAGTAACAGAGAAATAGGAAACACGTCACCACCTGTAAAATATACATAGAAGTGTATTTAATTTTGCTGTGTAAGCCTATTGCTTTCATTTTTATATAAACGTAATATCATGATTTCTCTTCTCCTCTGCAGTTTTAATAATAAACCAAATTACTACTTTATGTATGTCTAATAGTGCAGCTCTATGTAGGGGGAAATGAACCGAGATATCCACTGTATTTAAAAGAACGAATATAGGCTAAACATACATTAATTCATGGCAAGATATTACATTATGAAGCCATCTATGGAGAACTGTTCAAATAGCCTTTGGAAAGGCAAAATAACGTATCTAAAATGTTATACTTCAGCACCCTGTTGCATTGTGTAGATCTGATTTATTTACTATTTAAAACATACGCCCTAACTCTTGTAACAAGTAGGTTAAAGCTCTCCCTCTACTTAACTAATTAAGCATTACGCCATGAAGGCGTATGGGGGAGTGGATGTATAGAGCCATATTTTCTTTACATCGGTACTAGCTGGAGGTGATTGGTCAGTTTCACGCTCCGGCAGCTTTACCCTCAGGGAAAGCGCTCCCGGCATCCATTGGATAGGAGGTTGGGTGGACTCAAGAGCTGGTTAGGACGACGTGGAGAAAATTCTTGACCCTACCTAGACTCGAACTCCGACCCCTTGGTCGTTAAGTCCGTAACCCGTTGCTTTACCTGAGATACGATGTAGTATTTAGTACCTACCTGTAATATGAAGATAAAGGAACAGACAAAATGAGGGTGTAACATGCGTCGATATCACGAGCACTCGTAGTGACTACAGTTGTTTCTGCAGTGTGAGTTCCTCTTGCAGTCTCAGCGAGTCATTCATCTCCGAGCCTGTGCTCGTGTTGAGATATGGGCTGTCAGCAGATGTCTCTTATGAAATAAAGCAACTCAATTTATATAGAGAAGTAGTAGCTGGTCTCCATAGGCACCCCTTTTGATATATAGTTTATATCATTCTTATTGGGCCCTGGAAAAGCCAGTAACATAGCAGCTGAAGAATGGCTGCAGCATTACGCTCACGTTCTGTGAGCTATACAGGATGTCCCAGGTGTTTGGTGCCATACTTCAGGAGCGTATTGAGGGTTCCCTATCGGAAGTAGGAACCCATGTCCGCAAACGTAAAATAGCAGCGCTAGGGGGGCATCTAATATCATTTTGTTTAAACTTGGCGCCTCAATGTCGAAGAGCATGCACAAGCATATTACCACCTCCGGACTCCTAAGACTCACCTGCTAGAGTAGATGTTGGAATTGGCGCCCTCTATTTTCAATGCATGCGTTACATCGACGCAAGAAACTTTGGCGCACCCTTTCAAATATTCCAGGTGTCTCACGGATCACGTCACATGCAACAAGTATTCTGGCCAACAGCTCGAATTCATTATCCACAGGCGTGTCGTAGATCAGGCTTTTCACATGGCCCCAGACGAAATAGTCCAGAGGTGTCAAGTCTGGGGATCGGGGTGGCCAAGGAACTGGGCCTCCTCTTCCTATCCAACGACCATGAAAAGCAGCATCCAGGTAGTCTCGTGATACAATGCTGAAGTGTGCCGGCGCTCGGTCATGTTGTATCCACATTTGCCTCCGCATAATCAGAGGCACGTCTGCTAGCAAAGTCGGAAGGATACGTTCCAGGAACACCTTGTTAAAGGGCCCATTGAGTCGCGGTGGTAGGAGGAAAGGTCCAGTCAAGTGATAGCCAATGATGCCCGCCCAGACATTGACAGAAAATTGCGCCTGGTGGTAACCAACTACAGAAATGTTGGGGTTTTCGTCAGCCCAAACGTGGATGTTTCGACAGTTGAACCAGCCATCCCTTGTAAACTGCGCTTCGTCTGTGAATAACACGCGATTCAGGAAGTTGGGCTGATGTAAACACTGGTTCAGTATCCACTGACAAAATCGAACTCGTGGTACGAAGTCAGCTGGACCTACGTGGTGTACTCGCGTTGGATGATACGGATAAAGCTGTTGGTCGTGCAGGATCCTCCAAACACTTGATTTTGATGTCCCCACAATCTTGGCAATGGCACGAGTGCTGGTGGATGGCTGTTCCTCTATGCATGCAGTTCGACATTGAGGCGCCAAGTTTAAACGAAATGATTTTAAATGCCGCCCTAGCGCTGCTATTTTACGTTTGCGGACATGGGTTCCTATTTCAAAATTATTCTATAGGAAACCCTCAGGACGCTCCTGAATTATGGCACCAAACTCCTGGGACATTCTGTATATGTATATGTGGAGGCATATGTGTGTTCTGAAAGAAAACTGAAAGTAGGTTTCAAACACGGAAGCTTCAGTTGCTTCAAAGAATCCTGCTACCATCTAGAATACGAAAACGTGACGGATAAATAAAATGTCGTAACGCAGTTTCCGGCCAAGGCCGAGCCTATTGCTAAGTATATCAGAAGTTCCCGGAAGAAGTTACATAACACATTTACCAGCGGTAAAGATCCTGACTGGTAATTGGTATGTCATGTAAACATTGTGCCTAAGCATGAAGTTTTAGAAGTATAAATTATTAAGATTAAGAATAAGTCTTCTACAAAAAAAAAACAGCATATAGGAATAGGAAGCTGAGATGGATATTGTACGGCATTTGGGGGGAAATATGTAAAGGCATACCAGTTACTAAACTCGTAACTCTGCCGTCTTCACCATTGGAAAGTTTTGCCTAACAACTTCCAGTATACACTGAAGACAAAATAATTTGATACAGAGCGTTTAAATACACACAGAAAATTGGTGAAAGTGCAAGGAATCAGGAGACAGAAACTTCTTTAATAAATTCGTTGTAAGAAATGGGGCAACCTGTCCAAGAATCGTGTTTGTAGATCTAGTACATAATACAGCTCAGTCAGTATGGAGAAAAATATTTTTCTCTTTTCCACAATATTTATACCTGCTCTGAGGTCCACCCAGTCTCCTGTACAAAGAGTACCGGCGGCTGTTTTCCCCAGGATAAAGCAAGAAGAGCTTGACGCTGACCACACACCTAGTTCTGAAGTTAAAAATGGAGCTATATCTCTACTCCCTCATAAGCCTTCATGACGTGGTGCTTAATTCATCAAGCTCACAGATGAATTTACCTCTTCAGTTGGAGTATCACGCTACCCACCATTCCCCTAGTTTTTGTTGTTCTTGTAAATGCATAAGTCTGTACGTGGTCCGTATATCAAGTGTTTCTTTGGAACCCCTCACTACAGATTCAAATCCTTCTTCTTAATGTGACAAGAAAGTATAGAATAGTGGACTTAACCCCATTTACTCTCTTCACAGCTGTCAGGACGGGAAAAAAGGAATAGGGTAACCATCTACAAAAGCCTTTTAAGTAAGAAGCATTCTAGGGCAGTTTGCGCTTTCAGAAGAGACCAGTGCGTGTATCGCACAGATATTTTTCGTTTTTGTTTAAAAAAGGGAAGAAATTGCCTCATACGAAGATAAATTTTAAATTCAGAAAAATTTGTTAAACCAAAATGTTTGTAGTAATTTGTATCTATCTGTATCTATAGTTCTACAGCCCTTTGTTGGACCTCGGCAGCTTTTTTAGTTTCTCTATCTCTTACACAGCTGGTAGGATTCCTTGGAGGGGGGATCAACCCTTCACAAGGCAGCTATCTCCAGACTTGACAGCACAAACACAGAACAAACGCACACAGATATCCATGTCTCAAGTGGGATTCGAACCCACGATCCCAGTGTTTGAGCGGGTGAAGACAGTTCAAGCCTTAGATAGTGCGGCCACTGTGATCGGCAGTAATTTGTATAGGGTTACATAATATGTAGAAATCGTAACCAAGGGATGGCCTGATAATTCACTTATCTATACTGACAGAATCTACTTAGGTTGAAGTATTGGTTCGCACACAGGTTCCCACACAATATGATGCGATATTCTTTTGTTCTAGAAGAGAAATTTCAATCTGTGTATTGCTTTTGTAATTGCATGTGCACGGTTCACATTGATTCTTAAAGAAGATTAACCAATGACTGTCGAAGTATACAACTGTTAATTTCCTGGAATTGGAAAACCAGGAACCATTTGCTGCACACACACGATTAGAGGAAAAAAGATCGAAAATCAAGGGCCGATGATATATTCGAAGGATTATTAAGTACAGGAACGGATGGAAATATCACGTAAACAGAACTGGTAAGGACAGGTTGCCAGGAATAAGAGAATTTATATACCTTCAAGACAACTCTGGCAACTAGTCTCCGATTTCTAAACACAGCTGCCCGGGTTCGATCCCAGGTTAAGTCGTGAAACGTATATGGAAGACAAAGTAGTGCTGGGGTGGGTTTATCCCGATAAATCGGTTTCTCCTGCCAGTTCTCATTCCACCAGCTGGCCCACATTTATTAATATTTCAGTCATAAAACCTCGATATTGAGAGCGTCATTTAATAACCAATCCAATAACATACTTAGGAAAGGAATGACAAGGAAGACCAAGAAGAAGACGAAATCCAAAATCTAACAGTAACAATGGAAAGAAGGTTTCAAGGCCGATAAAATAAAGGTAAAGTTTTCCCTTTGCTTGCCTAATTAAGCACTACGCCATGAAGGCATATGGAGCGCGGATGTATAGATCCACATTTTCTTGACCTCGGCACTAATTGGATGTGAGTGGTCATCTTCTCGCCCCGGCCGCTTTACCCCCTGAGAAAGACCCTCCCGTACCCTTTGGATAGGAATTTTGGTGGACGCCAGAGCCGATTTGGAGGACGTGGAGAAGAGAAAATTCTTCACCACACCGGGACTCGAACTCCGATCCCTCGGTCGTCCAGCCCATAGCTAGTCGCTATACCGACCATACCGACTGCGCTGTTTCAAGGTCGGTACAGGCATTAAGTTGCCTCAGCAGCGAAGGGAAGAAGCAGCGTGAAAGCGAAGATTCATGCCGGAACTTGACATCACCCGCGAACGCTAGTCACTTCCTTACTGACAAAGCGCATTTGAGGAAACGTTGCAGTAAATAACAGAATGTTATATCTCAGTGATGTATGAAGTCAAAAGCTGCCAAGCCTGAAGTTCTCATGGTGATTATGAAGAGTAGGTCTCTGTCTTCTGGGATATGACAGCATACAGACTGGTCGAAGTTCACAAACGTTTCGGAGGAAAAAAAAAAATGGCCTCTACCTTTAGTGTCTATGAGTAAGCTTGCAGCTTGCTGCTTTACCTGCTCGGATTACATTTGAGCCCTGAATATGGAGGCAATAGGATCGTCCGAATCGTCCGTGAACATGTACTGGAAACATATCCCGGAAGATAATAATTCATATCAAAGGTTTTATTATTATTATTGTTAGAGGGGGTGGGCTTCCCCATGCACTTAGACCAGTTATTGGTCCATTGTGCGTCCCCTTTTAATTTCTACTGTCGCCATACCCTACCGGTACTGGTGCGTGCTATCAGTCCCGTGCAGCCAACGAGGTCGGCCTTCGGTACCTGATATTTCCCCCATCTACCAGAGGCATTGGAAACTACTTGGGCGGGAGACTTGTTGCCTAATTTTGCTCAGAGGTCTCCTATAGACATGAGGATCTTTTACGTGCCGTAAATCTACGACAAGGGACCCACGGCTTAAAGTCCCACCCGGAGGACTTGTTCCCTGAAATTTTCCTCCCTTAAAAATTCCACGACTTCCGCCGGGTTTGAACCCGCGTACCTTGAGTATATCAAAGGTTAGTTAGAATTATATGCTAATCTGAATAGGGCATTATGAGACGCGTGGAGGAAGTAGTAGTGCCTATTTGCAGTTATAAGCTACAGGATATCAGATGTTTGTGTATAAACAGGCTGACAGATTAAATAAAAAAAGTAAAGCTATCCCTGTAACAGACTGTGGAGGCCCATAGGGTTGTGAGACGTCGAGACTCCCACATTTTCTGGACAGTCAGCTCACAGATGGCGGTAAAGATATCAGCCTTAACCGCCGGCCGCCCTTTACCTTCACGAAGATTCCTGGTACTTATTTCTGCTAGAGGTTGAGCCGACCCCAGGGTCGTAGCGCGGCTGGGAGGGTTAAGTAAATTAAAAAGTCAATAAACTCATCGGGAAAATAAAGTGAGGGGTCTATGAAATGAGAATAGGTTCGGACTGGCTAGGAGACAGTCGTATTCTGTGGAAAGGTACTCTCCCATCATTTTCGTGGGTGCTACCAAACATCTTCTAGAATCCGTCCGAGACTCGTGTACCTCGCGAACAGAATTCCATAACATTACAGCTACACGAATTATGCAATGATAGATTCGAGTGCATGTGTCTATGCATGTATCCATGTACTGTGTATGTATGTATGTGTATGTGTGTGTGCTTGCATGCGTTCGCGTAGCTACGTGGCTGTTTGTGAGTGAGGTTGCTATGGAGGTAGATATTTCAGGGAGATAGATTTGATTTCACATTTCAGAAGTACTCTGTCATTTTCATCTCTCCTTTCAGATCGTGAGGGATCTCTGGTAGACTAGGTGATATGGGAACAGTTTTCCTCCGAGTACTTCCGTTTCACCTGCTAATTTTCATTCCACTAATTAGTCCATGTTGATTAACCATCTATCCTTTACGTTACAAAATTCCTATGGTAGCAAAATTGTTAAATAAGCGATTTAAGCCGTTATCTGTCTATTGGCTGCACCGCAACGCGATAGATTATTCTTCATTACGTTCCAATTATCAGAATTTCCGAATAGGCTATTTTCTTTTTCAATTGGTAATTCTGCAAACTTTTCATGTCGCTGTTCGAGACACATTCAAGTAATGTGAGGACCAGTCGAAATACAGATAGACAAACAGACAGAAAGATTTGTAAGATTTGAGGTTTTCACGGCGTTAACTAAGAAGAGTCTTCTGGGATGTGGCGCCGTGTAGAAGTTGTCTTAACCGACGTTTCTCCGAAACGGCGCCACATCCCAGAAGAATGCTTTCTTCAGACAGAAAGATTGGTCATTATATTAATGGATAGATTGGTACGAAATTTGAGTGATTAGTGAGTCGATGATTGATTGGATTATTTTCTTCTAGGTTCTGTTAGGTCGGGCCTCCTCTGTACGAGGTTACACGGACTGGAAGCGCAGACTGTTTCGTAACTTCCCGCAAGAGAGCTTCGACAAAGTAAACAACCGGCACCAGTGAAATCAGCTGCCACTGCATTGAAAATTTCCTAGCCGAAATTCTTGAGATTCGTCCCTTAAGAGGTCAGTAATCCCTGAAGCAAACAAAGCAGCAGTTAGTTATTTAAATCCTCCATCTTCAATACAAACATTCGTCAGTATAAACAGAACTTAATACAATGAGCTAAGAAAGGCAAGGCTGGGTTTGTCATTTATGAATTGCAAACAGAAGCGAGCGAGCAAAGGTTGATGATGATGATTTTGGATTCCATTGGGCTAGGTTAGGTAGCAGATGCGGGTTCCTCCAAGCATGTGTGTACTTACGGACTGAAATGCTCTGTTCAAACAGTGAACGCCGAATCCCCCGGATTGCAATGACGGATGGTTTCTAAAGATTAAACAAGAAGAAACGAGCAGGAGGCCAAGGAGGCTGCATGCTTATTTAGAACTCAAAACCACGAGAGTAAATAATTATATAAAGCGTTCAGCTCTTGTGTTTCGGAGAACGCTAGTTCCAAAATGGAAATTATTCATATCTTTTTCTTATTTTTCCACTGTTTTAGGGGAATGTTTAACGTGTACTCTTCGCCAAGTTTAATTATAATCATCAAGTTAAGGAGGATGAGATTGGCAAGGCATGAAGTACGTATGGGAGAGAAGATGAGTGCATATAGGATTTTGGTGGGAAAACCAGAAGGAAGCAAAAAACTAGGAAGACCTAGTCGTAGGTGGGAGCATAATTTTAAAATGAATCTTAGAGGGATAGGCTGGTTTTGTATGGCCTGGATTGAATTGGCTCAGAATAGGGACCAGTGGAGAGCTCTTGTGTATGCGGTAATGAACTTTTGGATTCCATAAAATGTTGGGAATTTCTTGAGTAGCTACACAAATGGCGGCTTCTCACAAAGGACTCAGCTGCATTGAGTTACTTCCGGTGATTATTCAAACGGAAACAATGTAGGCCTATAGAGAGAAATAATACAGCAGATTAAGTCAGACTGCATCTACAAAATCTGTTTTCTTAGTCTTTTGCAAATGTCTGAGTTAGGTGTGTCATTTAAGTTTCTGTCTGCGACATGGATCATCGAGTTTCGATTCCTAGTTTGGACATAAGCTCCTGAAGTGACTGGACAGTGGCTGTACTACGGGGTTCGACTTCTCTTACAAGAAGTGATTGCTTTTCTTTTCATCAGTACGTTCAGACCTTGGCTGGGACCCAATTAGTCTCTAGTTCAGTGGGTACTAGCTACTCATTTTCTGGGGACAAATGGGTTGAAGCACGAAGAGAGTCGCTCCGTTTCTTCCAGGCTCTCTGAATGGCGTCATGATGTACTTAAGGACAATGACAATTTTATTTTGGTTACATGGCCCTCTGCATTACATCCAAAAGTGCATTTTATACAGAATTGGAAAGAAGCACATAATGTCATTGTCTGTCTGCAATGCAAAGACATTGTTGCAACCTTGCCTATGTAGCATGGAATTAAGGGGGAAGAGCTTCGCTCGTTCTTAACGTCGGCTCTGATTGGAGGTGAGTGGCCAGTTTTACACTCGTAACTTTTAATTCCAGAGGAAATGACTCTTGGTACAAAGTGGATAGTAACCTGCGGTTCCTAGAGCCAGTCTGCGTGTAAATGTAGGGCCCCAGAGCAGTTTGGGTACATAGGCTGGACACCTATAGCCAGTGTATAGAGAGTGATCCCGCATAAGTAGACTGATTGTGGATGGTGGATCTCTATAGCCAGTCTGTGAGTGATGGACCCACAGAGCCAGAGCCCCCACAGCCAGTCTGGCTATGTATGATTAACCCCAGAGTCAGTTTGGTTGTGCATGGTGAGCTGCAGATCTAATCTGGTTGAGGATGGTGGACTCCAAAGCAATTCTGGGTGTGTTTGTCGGGACCGAGAGCCAGTCTGTATGCGGATGGTGGACCACAGAATCAGTCTGAGTATGGATGGTCGTCCTCAGAGTCTGACGGGATGTGTATCGAGGGCGCTAGTGTCAGTACGGATGTGGTTGAAGGGCTCCAGGGCAGTGTGGACGTGGATGGTGCGCTCAGGAGTCAATATGGACACGGAAGGTGGGCTCCAGTGCCAAACTGAATATAATGGGAAGAAATTAAATTTTATTATGCTGATAACATGACCCTGTCGTCCAACCTGTAACCGGTCACGTAAGCGACTGATTTATACCTATCTCTTCACTCTATCGATTTTCTCCCTACAGTTTCCCTTAAAGAAAAAGAAGCGGCGAAAGCATTGCAATATCATTTCCCTGAAACGTAGTGTTCTCAGTTCCGCCCTTGCTCAAGCTTCCTTACTTTCAAATGTTCCCCTGGTCACCCTCTCTTTCAGAGTGAGCAGGTTCGTTCAGCAGCATGTAGTATAGTCTGATTTGTATTCGGGAGATGCCAGGTTCTAATCTTTATCGGGGCAATGGATATCGTGTCTAATGCACTTTTTGATCCCCTGTGTAGACCTCGAACGTATAACTGCCAAGAGAGCACTTTAAAAGTCTACGCTCACTTTCTCTCTGTTCATATCCATAGCCATTCACGAGTTCCACGTGGCAGCAGAGAATCTCTGGAGATAACAACGAAACTTAGCACAATGTCTTCCTCGAAAATATGCAGTGATTTAGATCCTCAAGACATTCACAGTGTGGTGATTCGTCACTTTGCTGTAACCTCCTCCACTGACCGTAGCCTGAGCCAGTAAAATTCATTTCATCGCATCTTTAGAGCCTACTTCTCTAAGACCCATTTTAATAGCATCCTCCAAACTAGCCTAGATCTCAAAGAGTTTTGTCGGCCTTCAGGATATCGAACAAAATGTCGTATGTATATTTGTTTCTTCAAATCTTGCAGCATGAATTATTATATCAGAAGTGTTGTTTTATCACTGAAAATTTAGTAGATAGAGAATACAAATCCAAAAATTCTCGACATCCAACTTCCTGGTTTATTTGCTTATATTTTTTCAAATTTTCTTCCCAGAACTTTGTTCTTAAACACCCTCAATCTCCCTGTTCCTTTTTGGGAGACAAACCATATTTCATATCTATGTGAATAAATTGGCTTATAAAATACGATATATAGACAACCAATCAAGGAAGTTTCTTGTGAGAAACCAAAGGGTGTAACATAAGCTCGCCATTGATCTCTATACTTAGTCAATTAAATTTAGTTCGTAATTTCGCAACTTATTTTTCTTAATTCGCATAGGTGAGGGTGGAATCCAGTTGGGTCCACTCGTCAAGGCGGCCATTGATTGGCCTATTGTACCTGCCCCGGATGATTATGATGATGGAGAATTTGGTGGAATGGAGATTAGCAGGGGAAACCGAAGTACTCAGAGAAAACCTACCCCAGCGCCAATCACAAACCCCACTTCACCAGACCCGTTTTGAACCCGGACCGCCGCGGTGGGAAGCCAGCCACTAACTGCTTGAGCTATGGCGCGGCCAATTTCGGAACTTACTTCATTCAACAATATTTTAACATCACTTTTCCATTGACTGGGATCACGCGGTAGCGTAGTTGGTTGAGGCACAATGCTACAAGGCGGAAGGTCGCGGGTTTGAGTCCAGATAAGATAGATTTCTTTTTAATTTACAAAATCCTTCCAACCGCACTATGGCCCTGGGATCGGCTCAGTCTCCTACAGAAACGAGTACCAGGAATTTTCTGGGGGTAAAGGAAGGCGGGCGCTTAAGGCTGTCAAATTTACCGCCATCAGTGGCCCGATTGTGTAGAGGAAATGTGGGAGCCGCGACGTCTCACAGCCCTATGGGCCTTCCCGGCCTGTTACTGGGATAACTTTACGTTTACATTTACCAGCAATTTTCTCAAGGGGTCATATAATTTCAGTGATTATTCCGGTCAAAATTTTGTATGCATTCCGCGTACTCTGAGTGACACTTGCTCCTTTCCTCACGTTCCCGTTGATTTAATCACTGTAATGTTGTTTGGCAAAGAGTCCGCAGTACGAAGCTAGTCGTTATGAAATGCGTTTACAGATTTCTGTAACGTTCTTCCTCTCATCTAAATACACTTGTTAATATCCGGTCCTCAAATATCAGCTCATGTCATTCCTTTACGATAGAGTCAAATTTCGAAAATACATCTACAAACCACAGGGCAATTTATGTCTAAGGCGTGCACTGTCTTCACTCGCTCGGAACTTGGGATCGTGGGTTTGAATCCCACTCATGACATGGATGTTAAGTGTTTGTGTGTGTTTTTCTGTGTTTGTGTGCAAGTACGGACCTTGCGACGAGATGATCACCAACCCAAGGAGTCCTACCGTATGTGTAAGATCTAGTAAACCTAAGTGAAACGGAGAGTTTCATGGAGGTAGGCCAAGGCCCAAATTGGGGCTGTAGCGCCAGAAGAAAAACATTTGTAATCTTTAGTATTTAGAAAGAAATTAGAAGATAAACGACACCGTAATAAACTAAAGAGTGACAAAAATCAATCAGTCAATCAATGATTTAATCAATCAAACACGTCATTCGAGAAGTGAACCAGACGGCGTTAATTCTGTTTAATAAAGCGAACCTGTTCAGCGTGTTGGAATGTTGAACTGTTCGTGCTGTACAAGACAGGTAGTTAAATTTAAAAGGAAAATCGCATTATTGTCCCATATTAGGAGCTAGGTGCACTTGAGTGAAATATTTGATATTCATCTGAACAGAGAAAGAGCACACTGCTAGACAGTAACCCAAACAGAACTCAGAAGTTCTCCTTTCAGACGTAAGCAGAACAACCAGTAATGGCGTTATTGTGGTCACTTGAGGCTACAGTCCCTTCTTGAATAATGTAGACTCCCTGGAACTTAATTTGCTTCACTCTTGAAAACTGATAGTGCTTGTGTGTTATATGCAGTATTTGGAGGGCTGAAGAAAGTGGTTGGTTCTGGTCTGAAATTAAGAAATTAAGCTGGAAGATCGCGGATTCAAGTCCCGATGAGGTAACTGATTTTTTTTTTTCAGTTGACCTAATCCTTCCAGCCGCACTATGGCCCTGGGGTTGACTCAGCCTCTAACAGAAATGAGTACCAGAAATTAATTAAATAATTTTCCTG